TTTATATATTTTATTTATATATAAATGCTGACCTTATCAAGGCTGATAAAAGGTGATGCTGGCAGCTATAGCAATGGTGTATTTTAAATTTACTTCAATAATGCTCAAATCCCAAACGGATATACTGATTATTCCTATTTTGCCCTCATTTCTCTTTCATTTCCCCCTGCCCCTGGCCACCTTTGGGACCTGGGCTATTGGCCTACTCACTGCGGGGCTGCAGGGCTGCAGCAAGGGGCTCTGGATCACCTTCCAGTGCCGGGTGTAGAAGGCCAGGAGCTCCTCCATGTCGGGGAAGGGGTGGCCCTTCTGGATGTAGAGGCTGCCGCGGGGGCTCTTGCAGATTCGGAAGTGGCTGGCCTTCGCCTGGTTGCGCACTGTCAGGAGGACAGAACTCAGCCCATGCAATGGCCACCTCCTGCCCACCTCCCTGCTGACTCTCCCCTTCTCTCCTTTCCAGGCACCCAGTTGATTAAATCACCCTAAAACCACCCAGCTCACCCCTGGGGTGTTACATCCCACTCCCCATCACCCCCTTCACTCCCACCTCCCAGCTCAGAAGTCTCCTGGCCATGGGCAAGCAGAATTTGCTGTGAATTTCTTACGGCTGTTTTACACAGATTGGAGCAGTTCATAATGGTGCTGCCTGGTCCGAATCACCCCAAATTCCCATTTCTGTCCATGGGAGCAGCCCAGTAATCCAGAGTGGCAGCACATTTGCAGACAGCTCACAGATGACAAAAGCCACTGGGATGAAATCCTGGGAGTTGGTGCCACGAAACCATCATTACACCGCTGTGAATTGTTTATGGCTTTCATACCCTGGACCAGAGCAATGTACTTTCCTTTTTGCCGCAGTAATTTGGCAATCCATACCTGCACGTTAGCTTTCTCCATGCTTTTAGAAAGCAGTCGATTCACTTTAACAAGCTGCTGTAAAGCACTTTAAACATATTTCCGTCTTTTTCACCTTGTGTTGGCCAAGCCGGGAGCTTCCCCTAAGGAGCAGCTCAGCTCCTTTCCCTCTGCTCATTTTCTCTGGCTAATTGCCACACAATTACCTGAGAGAGAGTACTCGCCCTTGCTGCTCTCACTGTCCCGGACAAGGAAGGAGCCGTGCTGGTTGGGAGGTGAGAGGAGGAGCTGCTCGGCGTCGTTTCGGCTGATCTTGCTGAAGTACCAGCTGGGAAGCAGAGCAGAGGGGTCAGTGTGCTGTGAGGAGATGGGGCCGCATCCAGCCCAGCTGCTTCCTTGGGTTGGTTTTGCAGGCACTTCGTGTGTTTTATTGCAGCCAGCTCATTGCAAGCCATTTCCTCCAGCAGCATCTGATCACTGATGTGTTGAGCTGGCCAGGTCTCAGCTCCATCCCAAAGCCAGGAAGTTTAAAACCTGTGGCGCCGTGCAGCCTGCAGTAAACCAAGCACTGGCCACATGTTGCTGCAGGGAAGATGCTCTGGTGGGGTTGCACCCAGAGCAACAGCTACAGGCATAGGATGGCTTTGCACTTCTCGACCTGCAGCTCATGGACACAACCACTCAGACTCTGTGAGCAAATCATGTCAACACAACTCTCTCTGGGAACTGTCCTTTGCTGCTCCAGACATGGCAGTGCCAGCTGGGGACCTCAGCAGCACCAAGCCAGGAGGGAGGACCCAGCCAAACCCCTCTTCTGTGCCCCATCAGCACTGAGATCCAACACCGAATCTCCAGCAAGCAAAGGCAGGCTGGGCGGCTGGGTCCCGACTCAGCAGGCCACATGGGAACAGGGGGAAGAGCCTGCTCCCTCCAGCCTGATGCAGCTGGGACGTGGGAAACCCAAGGTTTCATCATTACTTGGGATCACTAGCATCTGAGAGGCTGTGCAGGAAATTATACGTGCTGGGGTTATGCAGCTGAACAATTTACAACCCCGGCTCCGCAGAGTCTGCACGCCCTGGGCTCACTCCGACTGCAAAGCCATGCTCATTGGCAGCAAACTGCCCGCCCGCACTGCAGCATCCACTTGTCCCCGTCCTTGGAGGACACACAGACAGACACACACACAAACACGGTGTGGTCCCAACCAGCCTGGATTTGCCTTTTTCCGAAGCAGGCACAGGGAAGAGACCGAAGGATTGAGTGTCCCTCCCATCCTGCCGGCTGTGATCGCTGCCCCTGCACTTCGAGGCCCCTTCCCAGGCTTCCCCTGCTCCTTTCCTTTAGCCCTGAGCACGGTTGGGGTCTGCACTGCAGTGACACCCGCCCTGTCTGTGCAATCCCGGTCACTTTCCGTGACTCAGGGCCTGGCACAGAGGCAGCAGCAGTCTCTCGGGGCGCTTTGCCTGGCATGTCGGGACTGGGCTGCCTTATGCAATGATGAGCTTGGGCTTTCCCCAGCTGAGACAGGGCTGAGGCATCAACCTGAGCTCCACGTCAGGTGGGGAGGAAGCCCCCAGTCCTGGATAACCAGGAGCCGGATGACAGCACCAGCAGCACAGCTTGACCTTACAAAGCTCCAGACTTCCCAGCAGGTCCCAACCCAAATTCTCTGTGCACTCTTGGGCCCTTTGGAGCTGTCAGGGCTCAGGCACAAACTTCCTCTGTCTCCCTGCTGCCTCTCGGAGCAAGGAGCCAGAGCAAGCAGGAGCCCATTTATTCAGCACCATAGCTACACCCATGCACACCATCGCACCACATCCCAGCCCGGAGCCACCCCACCCCATGTGAGGGTGACGCACCCAGGAAGGGGGACGAGCATCTCTGCTTCCCCCAGTGCATCCCCTCACTCTCGCTCGCTGTGCTGAATGCCTCCACTCTGCATCCCTGGGGATGCCCAGGGGAGGAAAGGTCCCCTCTCAGTGCCACCACCACTGGCGGCAAAAGCAGGAGACAACGAGCTTGTGTTTCACGCTGAGTGTTACCTTTTCCCAGGTGCTCCCCTGGTCCAGCCTCCATCCCCTATGGACGCAGAGCATGGGATACTTACGGTCGGTGAGCAGAGGTGCCCTGGCTGAGGTTGGCCACATAGGCAGCAGGAACATAGCCCATGGCCGGCTCCCCCAGCAGCCGCCGGGCTAGGACATAGTCTCCTTCTTCTCGGAGGACGCGCAGTTTGTCCCCTGCGCTCACACTCAGTTCCTCAGCGCTCCGGGCTGTGAAAGCGTATAAAGCGATGCAGAGAGAGGACTTGGGGATGAAGGAGATGGAGCTTGGCTCCGAGTGTAGCGAAACGGAGTCAGAACCAAGATATGCCAGCGAGCAGCTCTCCGGCACGGAGCGGGGACGGAGCTTGTTCCAGAAGGACGTCAGGAAGGTCAAACGCTTCCGGACAAACTGCTCCATCCCCGGTGGATGTAGTGGATGCAGTGGTCTACGCCACCGCGCTTCTTGAGGCCGGAGGAAGGGGCGATCCCAGGCTCATGCTGCCGTCCCGCATCCCTCGCGCGAGTCTGAGCGCTCGCCGGCCCTTCCCAGCGAACTTCCTATTTCTGAAAGTGAAACTGGTTGTTCTGGTGGGACGAGTCTGCTGGCGGGATGAGTCTGCGGGCGGGAGTCCCACGCTCAGACCCACAGGCACATCTGGGCGACGGGCACAGCTGGAACTGGGCTCACCTCTCTCGGAGAAGAATGTTTTTATTTGTTTTGTTTTGTTTTGTTTTAATTATTATTTTAAAGTGTGCTTTCCTGGTTGTTAACTGGAGCATGGGTAAACATGGCTCTGTTCTTCAAGCAGCTCTTGTGACAAGTGTCTGACTCCAGTTAAAAGTCTTGACCTCACTTGTGTGGGAGGGTATTTTTTTTTCCACAGTAAAATAATTGCATCGACAAACGTGCGAGAGTTAAAACAGAACTGAGGAAATAACTTCAGAAGATATCTGAAGTGGTTTGGATATTTGCTGGGTGGTTACTGTGAGGTTCATAACAGAAGATCATTTTTCCTACACCCCCACTGCCAAATCCCAGCAACCACAGACATTGGCCAGAGGATGGAGGTTTCCACCTCGCATCCCACATGTGCACTTGAAGCTGCCTGAAGATCCCTGCTCCGGTGAGAAATCCCGACTCCAGCCCACTCAGCCCCTGCCTGGGTTTTGTCACTTAACTGTTCCCTCTAATTAGTGGGAGTTTTCCTGGCCTTCAGCCCATTATTTCGATCCTCTGCTTGTAATTGGTCTAGGGGAGCTTATTTTGGGTGTGCAGTTGGGTTCTGAGAGATTATTGTAACAATAAAAGGGAACTTTAGTGTAGGGGGCTAGGCTGTGGACCGCAGCCGTATGGTGTGTGAGGAATAAACTGAACCTGTCCCTGGGTCAGCAGCTCTGGGCTTGCCATGTCCTGGGTGTCCCGAGGTGCCCTGAGGTGCCCAGTCACCTTCCAAAAGCTGGATTTCAGTATCTGGTTTTGGGGGGGGTCAGCTCTTTCCCACCCTCTCCCAAGCAGAGAAGCCCAGGGTAGAAGTTCAGAGTGCTCCATGAGCATTGCTACAGATGGGAACTAGTAAAAAAGGGAGTCTTCAATGAAATATTCAGCCCCCTGTTTGCCGAAGTAGCTCCTGAATAGATGAGTAATGCCCCTGAGATCCTCCCGCGCCTGCCCTGCAAACGGCCTCGGTGGCACGTCGAGATGTGTGATTTCTCTGCGCATTTTTCCCACTCCAGCTTGAGGAAGGGAACAGAGGATGGGTTTGCAACATCCCCTCTGCTTCTGACAAGTCTGCTCCTCAATGGAAATGCCTTGTTAATGGACTGCTTGGTTATGCATGCAGAGATTATCTGATCAGATCAAACACTGAACCTTTATGCCGCGCTGTTTTGAATGAAGGCTTGGTAAACTTGTGGTTTGCAGAAGGAGACTGGAGACTGCTTTACCTTTACTGACCTTTGCCAGATTAGATTCTCTAGTGGCACAAGCGATAGGCAAGTGTAGCTGATTTATAACACGTCAGGCTTTGGATCTTGATTTGCACCTAAATGAAAGAGTACTTTAAAATGACAAACAGCCCTGAGGACTAAACACTGCCTCTGAGCTGAACTCACCAGACACGCACAGCACACACTCATCGCTGCAAACCTGCCTCCGCGCAGGACGTGCAGCTCCGAGCCCCACACCAGGAAAGAGCTGATAAATCACAACCTTTTTCTAGTATCTTTTTAAAATTTTATTTTCCTATTAAGTTCCAGGAGCATCCCTGCTGCTTTGAGTCCCTTTGGTACTATAACACATCTAAAAAAAACCAACAAAAAAGGGGAGGGGTGGGTGAAGAAAAGAACAAGCACGTTCACAGAAGTTTCTGGCCCTTACGCTGTGGGAACGAGGATGGGAGGACGCAGGGAAAGTGAGAAAGATAGGGGAGGCACAGATCAAGTATTTTCTCTTTAGTCCCTGTGACCAGCTTATAAAGGTGTATTAAAAACCAATCTGTCCACAGATTTGGGACCAGGGTGGATACACAGGGACTTTAGTTCTAGCACCACTAAAAAGCACCTCCAAAGAGCAACAAAACCAGAAGACCTGCTCAGTAGAGCTGGTTCCATAGTCCTGGTTTAGCTGCAGAGCACCTGGGAGCAATAAACACAAAGAGCGCTTTGCATTCATCCCAGTGTCAAACACTGCACATCGTGTTCCCATACTAATTGACAGAAACCAGCAGCTCCCCTCCACTAATGAGAGCGCCTATTACATCTAATTATTGGTGGTTCTGTTCCAGGTCCTGTTACATTTACACTCGAAATACAACTTGCAGCAAAGAGCCTGTTGGGGGGAAAAAAAATTAAAAAAGGAAGAGAAACATAAATCTAATTAAAACCTCTAAAAGGGGCAGAAGGTTGGAGAATCCAGGTCATGCTGAGGAAAATGGGCACGTAAGGGTAGGTGACTCTGGGTCACATAACTGAGGATGCACCAGTCGTTATCCAACGATGGATGGATGCAGCAGCTGATCACAGCATCGCGGGTGGCCATGGGCTGCTGTGTCTGGCACCCAAACAGCCGGGAGAATTCCCCGGGCTTGGGTTCACCTCCTCACTGCTGGCAGGAACCGCAAACCCAGCCCAAAATGCGCTTGCCAGGGCCCTGAGGTTTCTCTTGCTCCTTCTGTTGGCATGAGAAGATGGCTGGGGGTTGGTTTGGGTTTCATCTTTCCTTAATTTTATTTTCTTTATAGATTTCTCCAGATGCTTCCTGGCACCGCAGCGCATTTGAGAAAGGCTTTGCCTCTCAACGAGTTGGGTGCCCATGGGACATTTCAGACAAGGAGTGGTAGATGATGACAGCTTTGTGTGGGAAGAGGAGAAGAGCAGAACGGTGGCACTAAAGCAGCTTCAATTATTCCCCATTTCCTGGGGATCAAGGAAGAAAGTGGCATCTTGGCAGACCACTGGTCTGTCACCATCAAAGAGGGCAGAGCCCATGCCCAGGGGCTAATGGTCCAGGGGCTTTGGGGCTCCAAGACAGTCAGAGGGCTCAGTGCAGGCAGAGGTACAGTCGCCCTGGGGCAGAGAGTGGTACAGGAGGTGGGAGAGGAGGCAGAGCATCGTGGGGTCTCATGGCTTCTGTTTCTGAGTGCTGTAGAAGTGGGTTGGACTGGCTGGTGGAGAGCAGGAGCACAGGTCACAGGGCACCTGGAAAGCAGAAAAACCCTGTGGGAGGCAGCTGGAGGCTGAGTGAGCTGTTTGCACAGTGCCTGGCAGGCCTGGGGCACGCACAACTGCAGCACAAAAACAGCAACGGCCCCTTGAAAACCACAGAAATACTTCTCAGGGACCCTGTAAACCCCAGAATGCTCTTCAGGGATCTGCAAATGATGGCAAGGAAAAGCCAACTCACATAAGTTATGTCAAATTTCTAAAGGGGAATCACTGTTTAACTGGAAAATCTATAAGGACTGAAAAACAAAATCAGCCTGGAAAACAGTGTGGCCAATCTACAGGCTTCCCCTTCTTGCTTTCTGCTGAGATTATCACCACAGACCAGCCCTTGCTTGCCCTCTCCTGTAATCTGACTTCCAGGGATGCTCCTTATAGTATAGGCTGCCCAGCAGAACAACACTTCTGCATAACTCCGCTCCCATCCTGGGAGTGATCATTTGCAACATGCAAAAACCCTTGGACACCTCCTCCAGACTGGCAGGTGCCAGCGAGTCGTTCATCCTCTTTGTCAAGGCTGCAGGGATCTCCACAGGAAGCGGATTGAGGGAGCTGTGTTTGTGCTCTCCGTGCCTCTAAACCGCAGGGAGCAGAGGTTTGGCGGGTTTCTGCACGCACTCTGCCACAGCTGAGCAGCCACAGGGGTCCCCAGGTGCTGACAGTGACTTTACCACGCACTTGGACATCCTCACTCCCGTGTCAGGAGCTGAGCAAACAAAGGACTGGTGCCTTCATAAGAGAGGTGCACAATGACTCAGATGGTGAGGGGGAAATCTCTGACAATATGTAAGCAAATGATGGGTTGCTCCATCTGCCCAGATGTCCTTGCTGCCCTGGGGAGGAACCAGTCCATCTGCTCCATCACTGAGCTTTGTGATATCTCTCTCCACAAAGGTCCTTTGGAGGCTGTTGGATTTGGGGTTATGATATTAAGTGTTGTTAGAAGAAACCCACCCAGAATCCCAGGAGAATAGGCCCGAGAGACCTCGCCCAGTCCACCTACTCCATCCTATACTTATGTCTTACCCCATCTTTGCCAAACCAGTTCTTAAAAAGACCTCCAGGAATGGATACGCCACATGTCCCCAGACAACCCATTCCAGTGAGTCACTAATCATTACTGGTAGAAATGAGTGTCTAACCTGCTGCATTTAAGCCTATTACCCCTTGTCCCATTCATCACTGGATTGCTCCATTCCTTTCTGCAACAGTTGCTTCTGTATGTGAAGACTGCTGAGGTGTCCCACCACTGCACTGATCCACCTCTTGGACCCCAGCCCAGAAGCAGCACACTGACCTTGTACAAACAGGTAATATTGTCATCTTTTCCTCCATTTGTCTCCAGTCTTCTTCCCCTGTCCATGTGTGCTGGTGTTCCTGTGGTGCCACCTCAGCTGGCTCTCCAGTGCGTTCACCTGGTGGGGACGAGAAAGCAGCAGCTCTAAGAGGAGTCCACACCATTGCACAGATAATCTTTAACCTGTCCCAAATACAAGAAGAAAGTGCCAGCTCCAGTTACCTTCACTGAGGCTCAAACTGGTGTTTTACCCTGCAGGTGTAGAGGTCTGAGCTCACAAAGCTCAGCTTCATCTCTTCTCTCCCTACTCTACCTCGTTTCTACCTCCTGCTAGCTCCCTTTGATCAGATGGGTCCTCCTGGCTCTGGAGGACACTGAAGTTGCTGAGGCTGCCCGTAGCA